TAGCAAGTTAAATATTTAGGTAGTTTGCTGAATATTTAAGTTAAAAATTTATCTTGTTAGCTAAATATTTAAGTTAAATATTTAACTTGTTAGCTAAATATTTAGGTTGCAACTTAAATATTTAGCTAGCAAGTTAAATATTTAGGTAGTTTGCTGAATATTTAAGTTAAAAATTTATCTTGTTAGCTAAATATTTAAGTTAAATATTTAACTTGTTAGCTAAATATTTAAGTTGCAACCTAAATATTTAGCTCAAAACTAAATATTTAACTCACCAGTTAAATATTTAACTTGTTAGCTAAATATTTAGGTTGCAACTTAAATATTTAGCTAGCAAGTTAAATATTTATCTAGCTACCTAAATGTTTAACCTATTTAGCTAGCTACCTAAATATTTAGGTTGCAAGTTAAATATTTAGGTAGTTAGCTAAATATTTAAGTTAAATATTTAACTTGCTAGCTAAATATTTAAGTTGCAACCTAAATATTTAGCTGAAAACTAAATATTTAAGTCACCAGTTAAATATTTAGCTTGTTAACTAATTATTTAATTTGTGAGTTAAATATTTAGTTTATAAACTATGAAGTTTCTAATCTTTTACTTACATAAAAAAGACAACAAAGTGCTGACTTTATGAAAGCTTCACCAGAATTGTGGATGAGGATAAATTAATTATCTGTTATTAACAGTCATTTTTGGCTCTGTTGGACAGAACGGTCACCTCACCGGCCCATTCTCCAGGCCGGCCTCCCTGCCAACACCACCGTGCACGTTGGAGAGGACGCGCGCTTCGTCTGTAAGGTCTACAGCGACGCGCAGCCTCACATCCAGTGGCTGAAACACATCACTCGCAAYGGCAGTCGCTTAGGCCCCGATGGACACCCGTACGTTAGAGTGTTGAAGGTAAATTTACTTTTTCTTTTCCTAAATCCAGACAAACCCTGTCATTTTGGTGCTTATGGACACACAAAAAAAAAACACGTCTTCCCTCCTTTTTTAAGAAGACAGGTCCTTTCCCTGCTGGCTCGGCTGTTATCGTGACGTCCCGATCTGTCGAAGCCTCGATTGTTTCGGCTCATTTTTCTGTTTTTAAGTGTGTTGTGTGTGTGTTTTGTGTGTTTTGTGTGTGTGTGGATTGCAGCGGTCAGGCATTAACAGCTCAGATGTGGAGATCCTCACCCTCACCAATGTGACTGAGGACGATGCCGGGGAGTATATCTGTAAAGTCTCCAATTATATAGGCCATGTCAACCAGTCGGGCTGGCTCACGGTCATCCCAGGTAAACCCTGAGACCCGGCCCACCTGCCCTCCCCTTCCTTCCAGTGTGGTTTCCCCGCTGCTCTCTGGTGGTCTCTTGGTGGTCCTTGGGCTCGTGGACGTTCTCTCTCCTAAACCCTTGTCTTTCAGCTGCTGCACCCCCACCCACTTTGGGATTGGCGYCGCCATGGAAGCACTGTTTGGGCTTAAAGAACTAGACGATTGGTCACAGTTTGTTAGTGTTGCAGTGCTCTCCATGCTGCCTGATGGTTTTTGGTGTTTCCAGTTCCGTGTTTTGGGTCAGGCTGGTTCTGTGGGTGATGGTTTTTATTATTTTATGTGGTTTATCGGGTTCTGTCTTCTTCCCCTCCTCATTCCCGTGTATTTTCTCTAGATGGAATATGGGCTGCCGTTTGTTACACAGTCAAAAATTACCACCAATATTTTTGTTTTATTTAGACTTTTATTAGAAAAAAAGAACAGATTTATTTTTCAAAGTCAGTTTTTCACCATATGATTCATACATTTATAAATGTCATAGTTTATAAACTAAATATTTAACTTACAAATTAAATATTTAGTTAACAAGCTAAATATTTAACTTAGCTAGCCACCTAAATATTTAACTTAAATTTTTAGCTATCTACCTAAATATTTAGGTTGCAACTTAAATATTTTACTAGTCACCTAAATATTTAGCTAGCTGCCTAAATATTTAACTTAAATTTTTAGCTATCTACCTAAATATTTAGGTTGCAACTTACATATTTTACTAGTCACCTAAATATTTAGCTAGCTGCCTAAATATTTAACTTGCTAGGTAAATAAGTTGCAACCTAAGTATTTCGGTAGATAGCTAAAAATTTAAGTTAAACATTTAGGTGGCTAGCTAAATTTTTAAGTTAAACATTTAGGTGGCTAGC